GCCAAAATAGGCTCCTTGGTGCCGTGCTCTCACCTCTCCAGTGAGCCCCAGGTCTGCTGCCTGCCGGCTCGTCCCTGCAGCTTCATGTCTCCCTCCTTTCAGAAACTTGCAGTGGCCTCAAACCCAGACTCCCTGGGTGCTGGTTTTCCCCAACTCACCTCATCTAAACCTTCAGTGGTTCTCAACCTTTCACAGGGGTCGCCTAAGACCATCGGAAAACACATATTTTCCGATGGTCTTAGGAACCGAGACACCGCTCCTCTATCCGTCTCCAGGCCCACATGCAGATACTCCCACATATGAGTACCCAGCGACCTCTGTGAAAGGGTCATTCGACCCCCAAAGGGTTTGAGAACCGCTGTTTGATTCTTCACTGGCCACACACAGATGTCTTTCTTCCTCTGAGTCTGGGTCCTTGATCTTTCCCCATGACCCATCCCCCTGGTCTCTGACCTTCCAAACTTGCCCATCCTTCAAAGTGTAGCTAAAATTCCACTCCCTTCCCAAGTTCCTAACCTCCTGGGTGTCAGTATTCTCAGGAGAGTTCTGATATTATGTAAGTGAATTCTCCTTGACAAAGGTAATCTATTAAATGTTTACATAAATTTAAGTGACAAATAAGGTCAGACTTTTCAGATAATTATAATACATTTGCAAATGAGAAAGAAAATTCTCTGCCAGATCATGTATCCCGATTTATGATTTGGAAAATGTGGACGTTTCATTCCTGAAGAATTCCCTGATCACTGCATTTCCATGCCTTGTATCCCTAACTCCACTGTTAGCTCCCCTGGGGCAGAGACTATGCCTGAATAAATACATAAAAATTACCAATCTTTTGAAATTGTGGTGGAAAAAAATCCAGAAGTTTGGAGAAAATGGAAATATATCTAACACATATTTTTGCACTTTTCCAAATACAAAATCACTCTTTTTAGTGTGTCAGAAAAATGTACTGTCACAACTTCATCTAGGTCCCAGATTAACACAAATCAATGTGATAGAATATAGTAGAAATAGTGGGATGGGTAAAAAAAAGTGGGCTTTTGGTTTGGTTTGTCATGTATCAGCTGAGTGAACTTGGATGGACAGTTTTCTGGATATGCAGTTTCCTCATTGGATTTAGGGATAATAAATACACCTTCCCCATCTATCTTATAAGATGATTGTGTTTTTATGTTTTTAAGTATTTTAAGTATATTGTGATTATGTTTTTAAGTATTTTTTGCTCAGAAAATAATCCTCAATAACAGTTCAAATGAAAATTACTTTTAGGGCTTGCCAAGTGGCTCATTGGTTAAGAGTTGGCATGGGAGCACAAGCTCTGAGCAGCAGGGCCGCCGGTTCGGATCCCACATGGGCCAGTGACGCTGCACCCTCTACAGCTAAGATGGTGAACAACAGCTCGACCTGGAGCTGGGCTGCCGTGAGTAGCCAGCGATGTCATGTGCTGCAGTGGGACTGCAGTGGGGCTGCCGTGGGCTGCCATAAGCTACCACGAGTGGCCGGCAGCCAGCGTGAGCAGCTGGCAGCTGCCATGAGCCACTGTGAGCAGCCGTCCAATGGCCAGCGACCAACTGCCTCAGCCGGGAAGAGCGCAATGATCACAATACCAACATGGGCCAGTAAAGCAACGTCCTCCACAACTAGACTGAAGAACAAAACGACAGCAACTTGTCTGTTCCCCTTCCCTGATTCCCCAATAAAATCTTAAAAGAAAAAAAAATTACTTTTAAGTGGTTTAAATTTTGTTACTAACAAGCTTCAAGGTGCTGAGTAATTATTTTTAAAATCAGACAATTCTGAATTTTTGCCAGTTTGTGAAGAGGAGGGAAAGGCTTTGGGATCAGAGAGACTAATGTCACCTAATGTCACCCTGGGTAACTTAGCATGACCTGTAGGGTGAGTCAGGCGGCAGATAGAATTCTGACCCTCCCACTTACACATGCCATCATCTCAACCCCTCTGACTGTCTGTCTCCTCATCAGCAAAATATGTATAATAATAGTAATAATAACATTTACTGAATGCTTTCTGTGGGCTGTGTACTATTTCAAGCATGTTGCATATATTAAGTCATTTAATCCTCACAACAACCCCATGAGAGAGGGATTATTAGTAGCTCCGTTTAATAGGTGAGGAAACTGAAGCACAGAGAAGTCATTTGCCTAAGGCTGCCCAGCTAGTGATGGTGGAGCCCAGGATGAATCCCAAGCAGTGTGACTCTAGAGTCTGTGCTCTTGTCCGTGCTGGACCACTCCCTCCCTGTGGGGTTAACGGGAGGATTAAATGAAATAATGCACATAAAGCACTTGGTGTGTGGCCTGTAGCACAGCTGTTAGAATTACCGCATTTTTTAACGTTTAAGTGTGGTAATGTCTGTAGGTCTATAGCCCAGTTCCTGGCACAAAGCGATACTCCAGAAGCTGGTTCCTTTCCCACTGACATGTTACACAGGGCAGGAGACACAGAAAATGCTCATTAATGCATGTTATTTTATCTTCCAGATGAGAGGTGGGCACGGAATTCCTCAGAACCTGCTGAAGACACCTTTGCTACAGGCAAACTCGTGTCTTTGCTCTCCTTTACTTTTTTTCTTATGCTTCTTTAACTGCTTTTATGGTTTTGTAAAGAAAAATTAGGTATCCCTAGATTGGGAAAAGCTGGAGCCTAATGTCACAGAAAGTGAAATTGGCATGAAATGTTGTCAGGACTTGTGAGTTTTCAAAGGCTCTGACTTTTGCCTCAGTTCCATGGGATAGGATCTAACTCCTACAAAGCCTAGGGGCTGGTGGGATATCCTCCTTGGCTGAAATCGTCTTGGGTCTCCACCTGGGCTGGGTATCAGGTTCACCCCACGCACACATCTGCCTACACACGTGCCCCCCTAATTTGTTCCCACATCATTCATACAATCACTTCTTCACAACCATGTCCACCCACCCACCCCAGACATATCTGTTCTCCCAGACGCTCTCCTCACAACATACAATGCACAGACCCCATCTTTACTCCCCCTAAACACACTTTCTCTTTCATTCATCTGATGGCACATACGTGATGAGTCTTACGTGCCAGGCACTGTGCTAGATAGTTGGGCATCATTCGGCCACAAAAACTCATGTACACGTATATTTCTCCCCACACAGACTTTACATGAAGGTGTTTGCATGCTCCTTATACATATAAACACATGTAACCTCCATATATCCAGAGGGCACATACACATACCCATAGACACTGTCCTTCAGCCCCTCACATCACCTGCCTCTCCTTAGAATGGTCTTTGATTTTGCTTTCTCCATGTTGTTTGTTTCCCTATCACCTTAATGGCAGACTTAACCTAAAGGGGGTAGGGTATGAGGCTTTTGAAATACCCCAATTTTGATCATGCCAGCAAGTTCTGGCATGCTATATTTATCTTCAACACAGACCTCACCTACCTTTCCTTTTCCAGGGAAAAACTCCATATATCTCCTAGTCGTGGGAAAATGCTGGTTGCAGTCCCAGGTGGGAGAGGTGACCTGGGACAGTGGTAGGTGGGCAGCAGTGCTCTTAGTTAAGTCAGCTTGCTCGGTTGCTCAGGCCATGGACTATGTACCCCTAATCAGGAGAGCAAGGAAGAGGGAGGAAATGAACTGCATTGCCCTACTCATCCAGCCCTAAGATCAGCCCCTCCTGACATAGGAAAACCCAGAGCAGATGGCCATGCCTCAAAATCCCACATCCTCTCTGATGTGACCCCAGTAGTGGTGGTCCAACCTCACACCAACAACCCAGGGACCAGTTCTTTTTCTTTTTGGAAACATGCTCTCAAGCATGGGGTGGGGGGGTGATATCCTCTGGAGGACTCCAGAGGTAAAACTTCAAAATAAAGGAGCTCTGCTCTGAAGGGCACAAGTTCAGGGAGGCAAGGATAGATTCGGGTTTCTTTAATGACAGTTACAGGCAGAAGGCCCAGGTTATGCAATGGAGGCACCACTTCCTGCAGAGGCCAAGGGGAGGCACCATTCAGGGTAGACCTTCTGGCTCCCTCCACCAGAGCCTTCAGATACCAAGTGGGCAGCTGTGTGGCTGAGGGCATGGCTTAAATGGTGTGACAACCTGAGTGACCTCTGTGAGAGATTTGGGATAGATCTCAGTAACTCCTGTTAATGGGCTGATAGGGATGCCAGGGAGAATGGCAAACTCAGATGGTGAGGAGTGTTTTCTTCAAGTTTACAATTTTACAGCAGTAGGCCTTAGTTTCATAGCCGCTGAAGGAATGGGTCATCTTTGATACTGAGAGGTTAGAAGGAGGAAACCTGAAAAGAAAGCAAGGGGGTATAAAACAAATAAGTCATGGGGATGTAATATGCAGCATAGGGAATATAGTCAATATTGTGATAGCACAGTACAGTGTCAGATGGTTGCTAGACTTATGGTGATCACTTCTTTAGGTATGTAAATGATGAATAAGTATTGTGTATACCTGAAACTAATATAATATGTTAGCTGTGTTTTAATAAAAATCTTTAAAAGAAAAAGACAAGGGGAGGGCAATTTTCAAATTTTTTTCTCTCTCCCCAAGAAACTTAAAAATTATTATCCAGGAATGGGAGGAGACAGGAGGAATGAATAGGTGGATCACAGGATTTTTAAGGCAGTGAAACTACCCTGTGTGACACTGTAATGGTGGGTACATGTCATTACACGTTCGTTCAAACCCATAGAATGTATATCAAGAGTGAACCCTAATGCAAACTATGGACTTTGAGTGACTATGACGTGTCAGTGTAGTTTCTTAAATTCTAACAAATGTACCCCTCTGTGGGGGTGTTGATAGTGGGGGAGACGGTGTATATGTGGGGGCAAAGGGGTATATGGGAAATCACTGCCTTCCTCTCAATTTTCCTGTGATCCCAAAACTCCTCTAAAAAGTCTTAATAAAAATCAGTACACTCTACTAAAGGAAAATAAGGTGATTAAACTGGTTGGAGACAATCAGAAAGTACAAGGCATTAAAGAGAGATTGGAACTTTATTGAGACTTTCTCCCTGATGAAATCAGAATGGAAAGAACACTTTGGAAAGGTTCCGCTTTGGAGGAAACAGCAACTGTTCAGGCACAAATACTTACAGATGCTCTCTTGGGGGAATCTCTGGGTCCTAAATTTCCCCCAACTCCCAACCCACTCCCCATCCCCCCAAAAGTCAGAATTCTGTTTGAAATCCACCTCCACAGAGCGAGGCACAAACAGCTCTTAAAGCCCAGGCTGACTGACAGACAAGCCTGCAAGCAGTTAGAGAAAAAGGGTAAGTCAAGGAGTGAGCAGAGGAACAGGAGTAAGAAAAGGAAAATGGATGGAGAGAAAAAAAGGAAAAAAAATCACACTGGTAATGTCACCCCTGAAAATATAAATAGTGTATGAATGTATTAGCCTCATTCCACCCACTTCCCCCAAAGCAATGGTGACATCAGCAGCTATAAAAATGCCCATACAGTTGTGCACATTTTATTTCCCCTACTGCACTAAGAAACACAGATATGCCAAGAGGAGCTTGAGGGCATTAAGGGGCATTAAGGACCAAGGTGGGAGGGCAGGCGCTCAAGAGGACAAATGATGGAGAGATGAGGCAAGGGTTGGTTTTTGATGAGAAGAAAAGCAGCTCATCAGGCCCTGGTCACCAGGCTCCTTGGACGCCCCTAGCAGACCCCTTTTCTTCTCTGGTTGGTTCTGTCCTTAGAAACAATGTCCTGGAGGCTTTGGGGCCTCTGGCTTTCCTGTGGGAGGTTCAAGGTCCTCCAGAAAGCCCAAAGAAGCAGCCTCTGTTGCAGCACGCACCAGAGTGCTAATAATTCTGAGAAACAGGAATTCCGAAGTTGCAATTCTCCACGTGGACCTAATCTGATCACCAATTTGTTTCCACTGCCTAATCCTGGGTGCCTCTCCCTCTGCCTTCATCTTCACTTTCCTCTGGTCCAAGATGACTTCCTGGTGCTGGCGGATCCTGGCCCCTGTTTCCTGGTGAAGCTCCCAAGAGAGGATGGCTCCCTAGGCAGGAGGCCCTCCAGGCAGCCCTGGGCCTGGTCTCCTGGGTTTGCACAAACTGTTCACTCACCCACTTTTCATCAAATGGCTTCTTCACTCCAGGGTCTTCCCCATGTCTTCTGTTCCCCGCTGCCCTCCGTGGTGGCACACCAGCCAGGCAGGATTCTCACAAGTTCTTTCGCTACATCCTCTGGCATCTGTTATCTCCCTAATCTCTCTTGGACAACATAATACACACTTATCCACACTCATCGGTATTTGAAGGCCCTGGCTTTCCTGTGGTGCATCTGGTGGGTATCAGCATCAAGTTCAGTTGAGAAACTGAAGGTTAAGCCTTGGTTGCTACCGACACCGAGTAGCTGGTACTGGTTCTGACTCCTGGGAAATTACTCTGAGTTTTGAGTGTTGGCACATCAGGGAATGGAGAAGAAGGGAAAGGAAAAGTCACGGTGATAAAAACCAGGAAGGAACGACTCTTGTGCTGAGTGTCTCCACAGAGAAGTTGTGGGAGCAGCCTCCTCTTACATTTGAGAGAAGCGGGCTGCCCAGAGAAGTCCCTGATGAAAAGGAGCAAGGTCTCCATTGTCCCCTCTGAAAACTAACACCTTTGGGGTCCGAGTTTTCCAAGACATGCAATAGACAAAGACACACTGCAAACCAATTAACCCTCTGAGCCCTTCCAGTACTTTCACTGAAGTCACTTCCAGTGAATTACCTGAATACATGGAACACTCACCCTCCTCTCGGAGCCAATACAGGCCCCAAGCTTCCCAGCTGGCTTAAAAGATCACAACAGAGAAATGGCATGGGGGAGGCAGATCCTTCTCCTAGCCTGGGAACTCCTGTTCTCTCTTAGTGTTCTGTGTCCTAAACCATCCCCCTCACCCCTTGAGGAAACAGGGAAGAAGGCCTGGGATTAGGCTCAAAACCCAGGTTGATTCAGGCCCAAGAGATTGTCCCCTGTTGAAGTCACCCCAAACTTAGGAGACAGCCAAGGGCTGGGGACAAACAGAAGACTGTGTCTAAGGCAGCCACAATAGACCTGGGCAGCCCTACAGAACTCAGGTCTTCTCTATTTTCCCAACTTACAGGGGAATAAAAAACTTCAGCTACTTGTAGCTTATTTAACGCTCATTAATTCAGTATATCATTACACATTACACTAGAATTTAGCTGCTCTCTGTCCTTCCGAGACAGGACCCAGGAAAAGCAGGCGTGGCCTGACTTACCTCAATCAGGCCCCCTAATTGAAGCAACGAGACAAGCACACTATAATTCACAGTTTCCACTCTCCTCCCTCGAACCACACCTTCCCCCACCACTGGCCTCAAATTAACTCCCAAATCTCCAATGTGTAATGATTCTTGCCAGTGTGGCTCAAAGGGTTAATAAACCAGGACTTCTCAGACAGTTAGGACACAAGCTCATTCACCAACAGGAACCCAAGAACGGCCACACAACAACCTAGTGTTTCTTATAGCGATTCTTTGGGGTTTCGCCACACCCTGTTTTGTCACAGTTGAGAGCACCTGGATTCTTCCCCAGCCCAAGGCTTCCCAGGAGGCCAGGGAGCTCATGGGTGATGGCCCGCTCAATTTTCTCCAGAAAGCAGCCCCCCATGTAGGAGCACTGCTGGGAAAGGAGCTTGAAACTGGAAATGGGATTGATCCCAAAGAAGTCCTTGTAGGCCTCGCGGTTGGGAAGGTCAAATTTGCTGACGTTGGTTTTTGCCAGGATGGTCTTGAAGATGTAGAACTTATCAGGATCTTCCACAATGTCCTTAAAGACCAGCTCTCCGTCGCTGAAGAAGGTCATTTTGTCCTTGTACGTCTGCAGATAACGGTCGACCAGGAGGGCGTGGATGCGGACCCGGATGGCATGCTGGCGGATGAAGGCGATCTTGTTCTCCAACCTGTTCTCGATCACCTGGTTCAGGTCTTCCAGGAGGGAGATCTCTTCCTTGAGAAACAGTTCCCGGTGGGTATCGGGCTTGTAGTCTTGTGGCCAGAAGGAGCTGACGTAGACCCTTGGGGGCTCCGTGACGTTGATGAGCGGGGCCAAGCTCCAGAAGAGAGCCCCGTAGACCCTCATGAGCATCTGCGTGGCCAGGTTGTCGGCCTTGTTCAGGATGATCCTTATCTGGGACTCACGCCCCTTCAGCTGGCGGAAGAGCATCTCCAGCTCCAGACCCACGTCCAGCTTGGTTGGGTCAAAGACGACAAAGATGAGGTCGGCTCTGTCGATGAACCACTGGCACACGTCATTGAAGGGGTAACCTTGGGGAGAGGGAGCAAGAGGTCAGGCTGAGCAGATCTTAGCCCAGGCCCCTCGTGCCTCCTTCCAGAACCAAGCCATGCTGCAGGTTCAAGGAAGTAACAGCATTAAGGATTTTCTGAGCTTCTAAAGACTTTTAAAGAATTAATTGCATATCTCCTGCCCGGTGTCAATCTTTGACCAAAAACAGCCTGATCCTTGCTTTAATCTACAGTGGAATCCAAGGCTCCAGGGAAGCAAAATATTTTTTCTAAATGGAAATTTTCCTACTATCTAAAAAAAAATCTGGGGCAATGGCAAAGATGTTGAAGGAAAGAAGTCAGGGAATTAGAAGGACGTGAAAGACAGGATCATCATTTAGGAAAGAAATGCGGACCTGGCATAATACTGGGGCTTCCTCACTGGCAAGATATTAAATGCTTATAAGCTTTAGCAATTCAGCTACGAAATGACAAGAAGTCAATGATGCCTAAGTTGATATAAAGATTACTGTGTTGCCATAAATATAGGAAAGCACCTAACTAAAACTGCCAGTCACATTGTAGGTGCTCAATATATTTTCATCCCTTTAACTTTTTTTAAATTAAATGTATTGAGATGACAACGGTAGTAAAATTGCATAGGTTTCAAGTGTATATTGCTATACTATATCATCTATACATCACACTGTGTGTTAACCACCCAGAGTCAGTTCTTCCATCACCATATATTTGACCCCTTTTACCCTCTTCTACCATACCCCTCCCTCCTTTAACTTCTTATTTCCAAAATGAAGAGACTAGAAATACCTGTCTTGGGAATCTTTTTACAACAACCAGCCAATAATGCACAAAATTATCCAATGCATAATAGGAGTGCAATAAAGGTTAATTTACTATTATAATTATTAGTGATTATATTATTACTAGTCATAAAACAGGGTCCAGTTATAACCAAAATGGGAATTATAGCCATAAATTGAGATCCACCAGCTGGTTATAGATTCCTACAAATGCCCTGTTATGACTCATTTCTGCAGATAGCCCTGCGTCATGGCAATACTCGGTGGCCTATGTCATAATCTAGTGCCTGTTGAGTCCAAAGTGGCATTCCCCTGCCACCTAAAGGCAAGTAGGGCGTTTGATACAAGGCCTATGTTGAAGCAGGCCTGGTAAAGTAGGAAGAATTGAAGGTCAGGTTCAACCCAGGCCCAGGTTAGCCAGAAGTCAAGTACAGCTGGACTGGGATCCCATAGGCAGGCTCTTGATCAGACAAGGCAGCCTGGGCCTCCCAAAGCTCAGCCCCAGAGTAGATCGAGTTCTTCTTACAGAGAAGATCAGCCTCCTCTTGGGAAAATAATGATCATCTCCAAGCCAGATCAGTCCTTGGGGAGGTAAAAGGACAAGGTACTCCATACCTAAGTGGCGCCACAGTTAACAAGAAGAAGGGGCTGGATGCAGAGAACGCATCCCCTGGTCTTGGACAACACTGGTCACTTTTCCTCTCCCCTGCCTGCCTACCACCCACCGTCAGAAACAATCTTCTAAGACAAAGCCCACGCTGTTCAGAAATGAGCACCAAATTACCTCTTTCTTGCTGCTTGCGGTTCTCAATGATGCCTGGGGTATCCACAAAAGTGACCCGCTCCAGAAGTTTGTGGGGAACCTCGATACCAATCAGCTTCTCCAGGAAATTCTGGCCAAACTTCTCAAGGGGTGAGAAGGACCGAGCGCTGTCAGCAGCCATGACAATACCCTCGATGGTTTTTAGCTTGGGCCCATGCATGAGGACCGTGAACTCGGAGGTGGTGGGCTCAGCACCTGCACACACAGGCACAAGATTAGTAGGAACAGTCAGCTCTAGGGGAGAGACCTGGTGCAACGTGGGTAAGCAAGGTGTTTCAGGGAGGGTTTGCCATGAGAATCCGATACGACGTTTGCTAAGCTAGTGGCTTTTTTTTTTAATTGTGATAAAATATATGTAACATAAAATTTGCCATTTTAACCACCTTTAAGTGTACAGTTTAGTAGCATGAAGTACATTCACATTCACCCATGACCACCATCCATCACCAGAACTTTCTCATCACCACAAATTAAACTCTGTGCCCATTAAACACTAACTCCCCATTCTTACCTTCATTGGCAACCACCATTTTACTTCTGTCTCTACAAATTTGATGACTCTAGGGGTCTCTTATAAGTGGAATCATACAATATTTGTCCTTTTGTGACTGGTTTATTTCATAGTATAACGTCCCCAAGGTTCATCCATGTTGTAGCATGTATCAGAACTTCATTACTTGGGAAGGCTGAATAATATTATATTTCACTGTATGGATGGACCACATTTTCAATGGATGTTTGGGTTGTATTTACCTCTTGGCTATTGTAAGTAATGCTGCTATCAACATAAGTGTAGCTGCTGCTTTCTTGTATGTGATTTTCATTATTATATTGAAGACACATATAAATGTTTTGATTTTTCATAATGCTTCTGCATACGACATACACTGAAATACCAAGAATCACATGAGAAGACCTAGCTCGTACCTGTATAGAGCTGGTAGCGAGTGTCTTCCAACCCGAGGAGGTAGTTTATCATGGTGGATTTGCCAACGCTCCACGGTCCCAGGAACAGCACCATTGGCTTAGAAGTGATTTCCCCATCTGTGGGCAGTGGGAGTTAGAGATGGAAGTGAATTAACAAAGCTTGTCACTATGGGAGCGACACAGTTCTTCACATTGCATCCCAGGACATCTAATTGAGTTGTGGAATTCTACATTGGACCAGACAGCGTGTAGCATTCAGTGGTACATCTCTTGCTACGCAAATGTGATCACCCAGTTAAAAGACACCAGAAGACATCATTTGGGCCTTGCATAGATCCTTGGCACACCAGCTCTAGAAGGAGGCGCTAAGTAAGGTCAACAACCACTGACGCAGAGCTTACTCTGGGTGAGGCCTCCTGGTTTAGATCTGGGAGAGAATGGCTTATAAAAGGGGCGCAGAGAGCTGCCACAGGAAAACTCCTCTATCTGGCTTGGTAACAGAAGAAACGGTATGAAAGAGGCTTATACAACCTTGGACGGCCTGGACTTGGGCACTGCCTGTTCCCAGCCTCCCTCCCCTTATCTGTGTCTCTTAAAATCCCACCTCAGCCTCAGCCCAACCCTGGGTTCTGGGGCCAGTCTCAAATATTAGCCTCCAAAGTCCATGACATGTTTGCCAGGTCCCAAGACCAAGCACTGACCAGACAATTCTTGGGTTCTTGGGAGAACACCTGCATGGGCCACTCCAGTTGGGGTCCCTAAGAAGAAAAAGCAGAATCCTCCAGTGCTTTCAAAACCAGGGGGCAGGAAGGGGAAGGGGAGAGGCTTGCGACATGGGATACGGACACTCTTGGTACTGGCTTTCAGGTCCCAGCTCTTTCAACCCTTCTCGGAACTACACAGGGTCAGCCCCACAGAATTTAGTGCCTAAAGTTCTCCAGACCTCTTTGTTTCTCTGAGCCTGGCAGATAGGCCTCAAAACAGTAGGCACTCCTTTTTTTTTTCTTTTCTTTTTTTTTTCCATTTTACTTTATTTAATTTCTTGGTTCAAAAATCAAAGTATAAAAAGGTACACACAGTGAAAAGTCTCACATCCCTGTCTACAGTCTACCTAGGCCATAACATGCCCTACATATTCCTTCAGATATTTCCATGCACATATAAGCAATATTCCCCATCTTTTTTATAGAAGGGGCGGTACAGTATTCCTCTTTTTCTGCTTGCTTCTTGATGTGCTGGTTTTCTTTCTCTAAGGTGAAACCAAGTCCTAGAAGACCAAGATGGTGTCTTGTAAATGGCGGGCACATATATATTGCCTGAAAGTAACACCATGGCCCTGCCCCATGAGTCACTGGTATCTCTGTGGGTGTCAACTTGTAGCTCAGGGACAGGAAGGGATAGGCAGGCTGAGGGGGTGGCAGGCGTCCCCAGTGATAGCCATAGAGATCCTACAAAAACTCTTTTTTACCCCGGCCCAGGGGACACCAAGGGAAGCTGGACCTTCAGCCGGCCACTGAGACAAACCACCACCAGGACTTTCCCTGGCTGCTGTTTCAGCCCTCTGCAGCAGGGGGCGTTACTAGCACATGCAGTAGGCTGCAGGTGAGACTCTGAGGAGAGGATGTTACACAGGAGGCCGCCCAAGGGCACAGCAGAGTCCTGGCACTGGCGGGAGACGGGAGACGAGGGGAGAGGAGCCAAGCCTGGAAAGTGAGGTCAGGAGTCAGGAACGCCCTCCCTGCAGAGCACCCTTCTCTGGGCAGCCCGCAGCCTCTGGGGCCAAGCCACGAGGTCTGAGGGCTGCGGGAGAAGGCAAGAGTGAAGAACAGGAAAGCAAATGGGAGACTACAACCTCACAGCAACACCTGCACTTCCTCTGCGAAGCCGAAGAGGATCGTTTGCTCTTAAGCTTGCAAGAAACAGTAGAGACAGTCGTGAAACAGAGCGTTCTCCAGAAAAGGAGAGAGTTACAGCCCCTAGTTCCAGCTGTGTGCTCCTGGGTAGCCCAGCATTTCTCTGGGCATCGGATCCTTCTGGTAAACCCTATCATACCCTACCCACTTTACAGCCATCAAGAGCATCACATGAGATAATGTGGAAGTAGCCAATTAACACAGAGAGATGTGCAATACCATTCACCATTCAAACAAGTATATGCCACTGTTAAAGTTTTCAAGGATGAAATAACACTTAAAAAAGGCATCCCTGTGGGGAACATGAGCTCTCATATCCTGTCATTGTGAGTACAAATTGGTATAACCAAAGGCAATGTGGCAACCACCATCAAAATGTTTAATTCCAGTGTTCCACTTTTAAAATTTTATCCTACAAATATATTTGCATGAAATGTGTAATGATTATAGTAGTGTTTGTAACATTTAAAAAAATAGAAAATGGCCAACACCCCGTTTTCCATCATAGGGTGGTGGTGGTTGTCCAATGTGGTACATTCATGCAAGCGTTAGAAAGGGCAAGAGGAGTCTCGGGGAGTGGAATTAGAAAAGCTGGAAATCAAGAAAGGGGTTTTTAAAATTTCAATATATACTATTTTGCACTAGTTGAATTTTTCTTTTTTTCTTTTCTTTTTGGCAACAGGTGTACCTTATTTTAATTATTTTAAAAGAATGCAAACCTAAGGGAAGCCAACTGGGAGGTGTGAACAGATGGAGGAAAGGATCCAGTCCAATCAGGGGACTTAAGAAATGATCGGTAAATAAACAGGGAGCCTTGTAGGCCGCTGAGCTACGAGGGGTTGAAGTTCGCATCACTGCCCTTGGAAACCAGAACTGCATTATTGAAGCGTGAGTCCTTACAAATGAAATGCTCTCCAGAAAACCCTGTGCACATTATGGGGCACTCTTGCAGTGAAAGGATGGTTCAAGTGACTGAGGTCTCTGCCCCTCTCCAAGAACTAAGGAGAGCTCAGCTCCATGTGTCCTTGGGACCCAAGGAGCCCACCACCCAAGGAGCTCGGGAACCACGTGGGCATGGGGGTGGGGGAGGTGGGAGGAGTGGTATAGGTCCGTGATGCACGACCTGTACCTGTGATCTCATGCTGCCGAAGCTCATTGTATCTATAAGACTGCTCCAGGGGCTTGATGGACGAATGGTAGATCTTTCGAAGCCGCTGCAGCACCGCTGAGGGCAGAGAAGGATTGGGGAGGGGAAGTCAGGTAGGCTAACTGGCAAACCCCTGTGGACCAGGTCACTCCCAGGGCAGCTCCCAGCCCTGCCTGATAGGGAGCAAGGGCTGTCTGCAGCCCAGCGACTATACTGACTGTACCACATATTAGTATTCGAGGAGGGAGTTGGTCCACATCCCAACCCTCAAGAACCTTTAAAATCAGAGGCATTTTCTTCCCATTCCCCCAAACCCCTAGGCTATTTCTTTTTCATCTAACCCTATCCTTTCTCCCCTCCTCAGTAGTGTATCCTGAAGCATGGCCTCAGCCTTTTTATTGCCGATGAGAACCCCATCTCTTCCTCTCTGCCCCCCCACCTCTACTTGTGCTTGCCTTAAGCTCAGATAGCTGAGCAGGCCTGCAGGACCACCACCCTGGCCCCCGGCCACACCCCTGAATCCCCAGGAGGATGCTGACATCCCAAGTGTCTTCTTGGGAAGACCATGACTGCAGGAAGAAGCGACTCAGAGGGGTGAGGCTGGGAGCCCCAGGGTGTAAGGCACAAAGCACGAAGAAGGACCAGGGGTCAGGTTTTTCAGAGCCCACCCCTTGCGTGTCGCCTCTCTAGCTGTGCACTGCAGCAAAGCACTGCCTTGCTCTGAGCTTTCCCTAACTCTTCAACTAAGAAGAGACAGTAAGCCTCGCCGAAAGCCTTGGTTATTACAATGATGAAATAAAGTACCGGGCATGAAAGGGCTTTATAAACTGCAAAAATCAAAGCAAATATGATGAACTCTATTAACGCCCCCTCCCAGGCCACACCAGAGAGGCTGGCACTGTGCCCGTACGCAACACTGGGATTTGCCCTCTACCCTTTCGCTGGTCCCTCTGCTTGGATCGCCTTTCTTCCTCCCTGCCAATCTAGAGCCCCCCGCCCCCAGCCTTGGACCCTGCTTGCAGAGCCTCCTCCAAGGGCTCCCCATCTCCAGGGCTCTCCTTGCTGGGGTGCCTGCTTGCCTCAGAGCCCCAGCCCCCAAGGTTCTCCCAGCCCCAACCGGCTCCTTCTTCCTCTGGTTACCAGAGTAGTCATCAGCTGGCTTGTCCTCATCCAGCATCAGGGTTTTCTCGATGTGGGAGCGGTCCCTCAATGGGGCTTCTTCACTCACATCCTCCGCCTCTTCTGGGGAGAGAAGCAGAAAACAGGATTAGGGTAATACTAAGAGCCAACTGGACTCTAAGCCCCCTCAATATAGGCAAGGGCAGGGCCTTGAGGAATTGCTGGCCAAGGGCTTGCCAAGCTCAAATGAACAGAGTTCCAGCTGTAGGAGGGACTTTGAAATCCAAAATCAACTTCTGTGGAGCTCCATGGTCCATTTTATGTATTCAACAAATACTGATTGAGCACCTGCGATGTGCCAAGAAACGAGCCTTGTGCTGGGAATACAGTAACGCCCCAAATAGACACAGCTCCTACTACTGTAGCATTTTGCTATAGTCTAGTGGGGAGAGGGGAGAAATATTCTTAAAAGCAATGTAAGAATCTGACTAAAGACTGGGTTTGGCAAGATTATCTGAGTACAGAGAGAAATGAGAGTCAAAGTTAAATGCTTATGATCAGAGGCCTCTGATAGAAATCTAGAGTTGTGCTGTCCAATATGATAGCCATTAGCTACATGTGGCTGTTGAGCATCTGAATGTGGCTGGTCTGAATTGAGGTGTGTTGTACATAATGGATTTCGAAGACTTAGTACAAAGATAAAGAATATATCATCAATAATTTTTATATTGATTGCATCTTAAATGATAATGTTTTAGAAATACTGGGTTAAAGAAAAGATATTAATTTAGTTAATATTAAAGTAACATTTAGTAAATTAAAGTTAATTTTACCCCTCCCCTCCAAAAAAGTAATGTAATAATGACAAATGGTGATGTGGCTATGGAAGGGAAGATTCCAGAAGCTACGAGGGCCTAAGAACTGTGCCTAGGAAGTCAGTCTTAGCAGGGGGGTCAGAAAACTTCCCTGAGGGGCTGCCTGTGAGCTGAGAGCCACTGTGTGAGGACTTAATTAGGTGAAGATTGGGACAGGAGATAGGAGTGGTTTAGCAAGCAGGGAGGGTGGCTGGGCCTCAGTGGGTGAGGGGTACATGTTGGGAAGCAGGGGAGTTCTGCAGGGGCTGACCAAGAACGGTCTTAGAGGACCACAGCAGTCTGCATTTCATCCTAAGAGCACCAGAAACTTAGGTGTTTCATCTAAGCAAACACCTGACCTGATCAAATGAGCATTTGATCAGATTTACAAGGCCGCCATAGGGCGTGAGCTGGAGGAGCTGCCGCAGGGAGAGGAGGCCAACTGTTGCTTCTGACCATCAAGAGATGCCCATGACTGCCTGCAGGTTCCTGGGGAGGCCGTTCTACCTGGGCTGGTTGAACAAAGGATTTTAGGTGATTAGAACTGGGATGAACTTGGACCTGTGAGGCAGAGACTAGTTCCACCAGGGATGGAAGCAGAGATTTGATGTGCCTCATGGAATGTCTCAGGACCCAGGGAACCCTGACCCGAGACCCAGGACAGGAAGGACAGGGAGAGGGGAGGGGCTGGTTGGCTGCAGGCCCTCACCCTGCGGAGGGTGCAAATAGCTTACAAGTGGTATGAAAACTGAACTCTGCAGGGAAGTCCAAGGTGAAGCAACATTGCAAGGTGAAGACTGACCCCAGGTCCTCCATCCTAAAAGCCCAGCTCTTGGTCCAGGCCAGCACCCTCAGTGGGTGCAGCCATGGGTGTCTTGGCCATGCCTAGGATTTGCTACATCGCCAATGTTGCCCAATGGTTTGGGCCCTGCCCTCCCCATTCCCTGTCCCTCAGTCCTGAGAGGGTGGCTGCTGCTGCTCCAAATGGAAACCTGTGGGACATGGGAGTCATAGCCAGCCTGAGGTTTCTTACCGCGATCCTGACCCTAGTCGCAGCTTACCCCACCGGACATGGCCTAGTCTTCAAGGGGAGGCCCCAGGTACTAGCCCACCAATGTAGTCCCCTACATGGCTTCCAACCCACTCCTCTACCTGTACATCTCTCCACTAACCTGGGCCTCAAACCCTGCCACCATGTACCTTGTCCTCCAGGCTAAGGCACTGGTCCATATTAAAGTGCACCAGGGACCCTAACGGGTACCTCCAGAGGGCCTAACTCATAGTGACCAGTCTCCTTTGGGCCCTCCATGGTGCTGCCTCTCACTGGGTCCCTCTAAACTGGGGAAAAATGGGTCAAGAGCAGCCCAAAGGTACCCCCTGGGCCGGGTACTCTGGATGGGGCCTCCACCCCGCAAACCCAGGCTGGCTGGGGCTCTCCCGCCCAACCCTGTCCCTGCCTGTCCCACTACATACAAGACTTCCAGGAAGAGTGCAGCTGCCCAAGTGCCGGAGCAATTCTGGGGCCCCCTACCCTGAGGTCCCTCCTCGGGCTCCTCTGCCTTGGCCTCCAGGGCCTCGTTCCCCTCAGGCCCTGGATTCGGTTCCTCTGAGCTCAGCTGGGCCCCCTCGTCCCCACTGCTTGGGGTTTCTGCTGCTTCCTGAGGTTCCCCCGCTTCCTCAGAGGAGCCCCCTGCTTCCTCTGAACTAGCCCCGTCGCCGCTGTCCTCCGATTCTTCTTGGGATGGAATTCCTCCTTCTTCTCCGCTGTGGCCGCCACCCTCTTCCTCAGAGGAGGCCTTCTCCGTGTCCTCCTTGGATATCCCTGGCGCCTGGACCTCTTGGGGGCGGTCTTCCTGGGCACCCCCTGTCTCCGTGGCTGGGCTGGGGCCCAGCTCCCCCTGATCCTCAGGCCCCTCCCTGGCTTCTGCGTTCACGTTCATGACTCCATCTGGCCCTTCTGGCCCCTGATCAGGCCCTGGGCTGCCCTGGCCTGTTGTCTCAGGCGTGTGGGCCTGTTCGACCTCCACGGTAGGAGAGGTCCCTGTGCCTTCAGCCTCAGCGGGCCCCATTGCTGCTCCCTGCTCGGGGTTTTCCGCTAGGAACTTCTCAGCTTCCTCAGGGACTGCACCACTCCCAGCCTGTCCTTCTGCCTCCTCTGCTGGGCCCTCTCCTGCACTGAGCTCAGGCCTCCTGTCTTCCCCGGTTTCCCTCTCCCCTTCTGAAAGAAGGGCACTCGCTCCTGGTGGCCCCGCAGGGTCCCCGGGGGAAGCTGACTCTGAGGCTGAGGCATTGGATAGGCTGGCTTCGGGGTCAGAGCCCTGGCCCGGGGTGGTGGGGGCCCCAGCAGCAGTCTTCTCCGAGCTCTCAGCCTCCCTGCCATCTGGGGAGTGAAGGAGCAGGTTCTTCTCTCGAGGGGCCGCCTCTGCATAAAGCGCCCTTTCCTTCTCCTCTAGACTTGCGTCTCCAGCAGAGAAATGATTCTCCAACAAATTGCCAACATCTTCTGTGCCACCCGAAGCAGAAACTTGCAGTTCTAAATGATTAGAACACGATTGGTCAGTTTCACAGGGTTGGCACTAACTTTGCTTCTCAACAGAGTAACAACCTAGCTCCCATCCTCCGGGAGTGAGGTGTGGGCCTGGCGTCAGTGACGCCACCCTCCCTGGTCTTCATAACCACCCTGTGCAGCAAGCAGGGGGGTGTGGGGAGGGGTGTTATTCCACCCCCTTCCAAGACCTGGAGGCTGTGACTGGGGGAGTTACAGACCTACTGTCTGTCACTGCAGGATTGAGCAGCTGACCCACTGCCTAGTCCCGCCCCTGACCCTGACTGAGCCTCCCGCTGGGTCCTGATGACTGTAGGGTGGAAACTGGGTGAGCCCGTCCAGTCCTTCCTCAACCTTGCCACAGGCGTGCAGGCACGTGCAGCCTGGCTCACCAGGAGATCTTTCCAAGATAGGACAGATGCCCTGTCAGTTCCTAGAGTCATTAACCAGCATGCTTTTTATACTGCTATCAGCAAAGGAGTGCAAACAGGTGTGTGCAGGCCAGATAATCTTAGGTTACACGGCAGAGTACTTAGGGGATTACTTGTGGCTCTCAGCCTTATTAAGTCACACATCCAACTCTGTCCCCTTAAGGGCAGGCATTTGCTGGCCTTGCTACCTTAGATTAGAGGGGACATGGCCTGAGGAGGAAGAGATATCCAAAACGGGAAGGGCCAGGGCTTCCCGGTGGCCTTAGCCAACCCCTCCCGAGGGGATCCCCTTCTAAAGGCTGATAGCTTTACCAGGGATCTAAGGGCACAGGGAGAGACCAAGGTAGGGGCCTAGGCTGTGCTGAGACCTCTGTCAAGAGACAAATGTAATTTCTTTGGAAAATGGGGTCAGAAGAGGGTTCAGCCTATCCCTTCTGCCCCTTCCCAACTAGACTGAGGCCTTTTTAAGGTGGGGAAACACTGCTGGCCTGTGGGGATGAGGGACCACAGGGCCTGCCTTGGGGCAGCTCAGACAGCCCCCAGGCTCCTTGACTCACAAGGACTCTTTCTGAGGGAGCAGCCTCCCGCCTCTCTGCTGGGTACAGATACCCCCCACCCACCCTCAGCCACAGCCTATCCTCCCATCTCTGCCTCAACAAAGAAAAGCCATTTCTTGGGGTACCCCTTCTGCCTCAAGGTACCCATACACCTTGTGCCCTGAAAGCTGGGGCAGCCTCCAGGGACCAGGAACAAATGCTTTCTCATTAGTCCCCACAGATGCAACCTGCTATCAAATTCAGAAGAATGGCAACTTTGGGTGCCTTGTATTATAAAGGAGGCCTGTATATTGATATAACACTTCCCCGAGCACTTTCCCACATGTGGCCACATCCAAACTTCACTCATTACTGTCAGCCACATTTCAGAGCTGAAGGTCAAGAGAAAGTCTTTGATTTGTCCAAGACACCAAGTGTCTGGCTAATGGGTGACTGACACCCAGAACCACCCACTCTTTGTCCAAGCTTTCCAAGCCACGGTATGTTTAGGGGAGCACAGGGGGACCCTTTTCCACAGGTACCTCGCCCGTCCCTGCATGCACCTTCTCTCCAGGCTCACATTTGGATTGTAAACCAAAGTTTAATCCTCCCTGTGTTCCCAGGGCTGGGGCCCAGCCTGACTCACAGAAAGTGCTAAGAAGAGATCAGTGGTGAGATTTGGGTACAGTAAGACTTCGTGGTCCCTTAGTGGGGGAGCTGGAGGTTACTCATTAAAATTTTCTTTTATTACCACCTGAACACCTATACGTATGATTCCTTTGCCTGCATATCTATCCCCTCATCACCACCCTCTGGAGAAAACTCTATGGCAGGAACTTGGTTTAACCCAGAAGACTAAAAGTCCTCTGAGCAGCAAGACATATGTCATATAAGATACATCTGGGGCCGGCTGAGTGGCTCAGATGGTTAAGAGCTCGCTCAAGAGTTTGAGCTCTGAGCAACAGAGGTTCGATGCTTGGCCCAAGCTGAGCTGCCACCAGGAATCAGGATGGCTCAGTTAAAAAAAAAAATCGATATAAGATACATCTGTACAATTATTCAGTGTGCCAGGCAATGCATAAGCACTTTATATGTAAAACATTAATTTACTTGATCTTACTCAATGTACTGAATCTTATTTGCTTCTATAAAACAAGTCTCACTCTTAACCCGGGTGTTTTAGACGAGAGGACTAGAATCAGACACTGAATGCCTTGCCCATCACACAGCTAGCAACTGGTTGAGGCCGTTTAACTCCAGGGTTGCAAAGGACATTGCCTGACCTTGGAGGGGATTCTACACCCATTCTACTCAGAGTGTGGTCCTGGCACTCACAGCATTGGCACCACCCAGGAACCTGGTAGAGATGCAGATTCTCAGGCCCCAGCCCAGACCCACTGAACCAGAATCTGCATTTTAACAATTCATTTTCACATTACAGTTTGAGAAGCACTGGTCTACACCGCCTGATAAAACTGCCTCTAAACCAGTGGTTCTCGGAATATTGGATCCACCAGGCTCTTGGTCCCACTCCTCTCCTTATCTTCAAAGGCTCTGATTGAATTAGGGTGTATCCCCAACATCAGGACTTTAACAAAAAAAATTACTAGGTAATTCTATCATGTAGCCAAAGCTGCAAACAAGTCAAATAATCCTTCCAGACTCTCAACACCTATGTGCCCACTTGGGGCTCCCAAGTTGGATGGGTCACCTAGGGCTTGGCCTTTGAATAGCAGTGGTCAAGTCTTCTCCTCTGGAAAATACAGTGCTTTCCACAGGCCTCTGTTCCCTCCACAGATGATGATGATGATAATGATGGTGGTGATGGTAGTGATGATGATGGTGGTGGTGGTGATGATGGTGGTGGTGGTGGTGGTGATGGTGATGGTGGTGGTGGTGGTGGTGGTGGTGGTAATGATAGTGATGGTGATGGTAATGATGATGGTGATGATAATGGCAGACAGACTGGGTCTGACCACCTATGGCATTTCTAATATTCTCAAAACAACCTCTGATCCTGATGGGGGTAAGGGGGCTGCACAGTCCCAAGGGAAATGAGGACCCCAGATTTTGGGAGTTTACCATGACCTTCACAGCATTGTGTATTTCCACTCCTAGGCCCTAGACAGGAAGTCAAGTGTGTACATGTGTGTACACATATTTACATCTGTACTTTCCCCTGGTTTTTATGACTTAGTGCCAAGCTGCCCCTGACCTTTTGCTAAGTAATTTGGAGTGAAAAAGACCAAGGGTGATGGCTTCATGCCCTGTGACCTTCCTTCCTGGGCTAAAAATAACTTCTCTGACACAAAGTCTCTCAATGAAACAAGCTGCCCTATTGGGTCCCAGAACTCGATCCTCAGGAAGCAGCTGTGCCATTGGGTCCAATCTCTCCTCTGGGAGGCACAGTTAAGAGGCTTCGGGAGCCTCTGATTAAACTCAGTTCAATTCTGTGACATCAAACCCAGTGTCTTCCCTCCCTCCCTGACCTCTCTAACATCTCATTGTAGCCCCCCTCTGGCCTCTAGAGGAGGAGGTAGGGGAGGGTGCTGAAGACCCAGGATACCCTGGATGGGTTGAGAGCCTGGTGAAATGAGTCTTGGTCTATCCCAAGACATGCAGCACCGTACAGTATTTACTGCTGCCAAGGCCACCGCCCCAGCCCCACACAAGCCTGGGTGCTTACATCAAGGTACATGAATAGTAAGCCCCCAGCTCAGCACCGGAGGCCATAACGAGGCCCATATGCCTGGCAGGCCGTTGCCCTGGGTACAGCGTGGCATATGCCAGTTCCACTCTCTCTCCCAACGCCCCCTCTATCACCAGCCTTTCCTCTGGGGTCAGCCTCAGCTGCTCTCCCCACCCACAGTCTCAGTGGTGGCCCTATGCTCAGTCGTTCTTTCCTCTCTCCACCACCAACCAAACACCTGATCAGTTTCCCATCTCCTAACTTGTTTCAAAGCACTTTTCACATGCACTCAGAGAACTGTGGAGTTTCCGAGGGCCTTCCTTGGTGGGTCTAACTGTAGAAGGTGTTCTGGCCAGGGAACTTTAGAGACTTGCCCAAGGTCAGGGGTAGGGTTGAAACAGAGTCCAAGTTCATGGCTCTCAGTCTAAAGTTCTTTCTGCTCCCAAGTAATTTGCAAACCATATCCCATGAAAGACTAGGGGTCCACGGAAGTGGCTGGGAGGTGAGGGAAGATGAAGGAGCTGTGCTTTAGCCAACTCCTTCGTACTACCTGTCCGGCAGCTCTGCTTGGGTCTGTCCCACTGCTTAAGGAGGGGGTGGGTGGTTCACAACCACTGCTCCTGCTCCCCTGCCTCCTCCCTAAAAATTCCTCTAGCCTCTTATTGATAATTTCCTCCAACATCCTAAGGAGCCCCCCTTACAGAATCTTTTCACTTTGCTGATCAGCATGTGCCAGGCACTGAGATAGATGATATCTTGCCTTCACGCAGAACTTCATGCTTTCCAAAGTGGTTTCATGTTCTTCTTCTTCTTTTATCCTCCTTGCAGTCCTCTGAGGCAGGGAAAGCAAGAATGAGGAAGCAGACAAAGGAAACTCAAGTTTTGTGCCTGACAAGCCATTCTAAGGATTGGCTAGAACTCAGGCCAAGAAACAAAACAAAGCTCCTTTGGGCCGGCCGAGTGGCGCGATGGTTAAGAACTAGCTTGGGACGCCAGAGGGCCCC